TGGTTTTGTAGGAATACAGCAGCTATGTGATAGTTATCTCACGCACTCTTTATTGCCATGTCCATATATATTTAAATTAGTCTTTTGTATGGCAAATTTTCGTCCATTATATGGATGTTATTGTCTGTATATTTTATAATTTAATTTAATTTCCTAATTTTGCATTTTTTTCAGATATGATCCAATTATATTTTCTTGGACAATATTTGTTTATTACGTAGGATACATACTAAAATATCAGTCTAGATAAATTCTAGTTGCTGGTTTCCTCCAATTTTAATCGCTAATGTCTATACCTATCTGCTGGTTATGTACAAGAGATTTCTGACTCACCTACTCAATTTAGATTTCTTCTGCTTTTCTTGGGAACTGTTTATGTCTTTCTTTGTATGGAGTAAAGTTTGACACAAAGACACAACCCTAAATGTAGCTGTATTTTAACATGGCATTGAAAAGCAAAGATGCTTTCCTTATTTTTGTTATTTTTGGTAAATATCATGAAGCTCCCTCCGGCTCAACTCTGATAAGGGTGATGGGAAGTTTATTTCCCTTAAAACTAGAAGTTTTTATCAGCATTCAAAATCTTATGCAGGTCTCACACGTAAAAGCAGACACCGTGTACCTCCATTTGTGCATATTATCAGTGGCTATTTAATTTTAATATTTTTAAGTGTGTAAAGGATATCTTGTGAAAGCAATATTCAGTTTAAGTTCCATAAATTATATAAGTACAGTACCCCAGACAGCTGGTAATGCAGCGGTCTATTCTGGCTAACCAATCCTGTGAAATTTTTGAGTAAATTCTTGCTATTTAGTGAGAAAGAACCTTTCAGATCTGGACAATAAAAGCTCACTGCTCCAGTTTATATAACGATGTCTTAATAATGCCTTTTACCCAACTTTCTTCATCAACTTTCCACTGTCAGGCACCTGTGTGGTGGAAGGAGACCCTCACTACCACACATTCGACAAGCAGTTACACCATTTCATGGGCACCTGCACCTACA